TGATCCAGATTTCATCATCATTCTTTAAAGAGAGAAAAACTATTCACCAACTTTACATGGAAAGGAAAGAGACCCAAGATAAGTAAAGCATTACTAAAGAAGAGAACAATGTAGGAGGCCTCACCCTTCCCAATCTCAAAACCCACTACACAGCCACAGTAGGTAAAACAGCCTCGTACTGGTACAATGACAGACACATAGACCAATGGAACAGAACTGAGAACCCAGAAGTAAATTCATCCACAGTGGATAAGGTACTTGACTGCTAACCAGAAAGTCAGCAGTTCAAACCCACCAGCTGCTTTGTGGAAGGAAGACAGGGCAATCTATTTCCATAAAGATTTACAGCCTCAGAAGCCCAATGGGGATCGCTATGAGTCAGAAACGACTTGGTGGCAGTGAGCTTGGGAGCTTGGATGGATGGATAGCTGATCTTTGACAAAGGGCTGAAAGTCATTAAATGAGGAAGAGATAGTCTCTTTAACAAATGGTGCTGGCAAAACTGGATATCCATTTGGAGAAAAATTAAACAGGACCCATATCTCACACAATATATACAAATGAACTCATGTTAGATCAAAGACTGGAAAGTAAAACATACAAAACTATAAAGATCATCAAAGAAGAAATAGGGACAAACTTAGGGGCCCTAATACTACATGACATAAATACACTATCAGCCATAATTTAAAATATACAAACTCTTGAAGATAAAATAGAAGACTGGGGCCTCATAAAAATTAGACATGTGCATCAAAAGATTTCACCAGAAGAGTAGAAAGAGAACCCGTAGAGTGTGTGTGTGTGTGTGTGTGTGTGTGTTTGTTGGGGCGAGGGGGTTAGCAATGATCTAACGGACAAGGGCCAATCTCTAAAAGTTATCAAAAACTTAACACCTCAACAACAAAAATACAAATAATGCAATTCAAAAATGGACAGAGGACATGAGCAGACATTTCACCAAAGACATTCAGGTATCCAGCAAACACAATGAAGAAATGCTCATGATCACTAGCCATTAGAGAGATGGAAATCAAAACAACAATAAAATAATCATCTCACCCTAGCATTAATAGCAAAGTTCAAAAAAGCAGAAAACAACAAATTCTGGCAAGGTTGTGGAGACTAGAACCTTCATACACTGCTGGTGGGACTGTAAAATCATGCAACCACTATGAAAAACAGTATGGTGCTTCCTTAAAAAGCTGGAAATAGAAATGCCATATGATCCAGCAATCACACTGCTAGGTATATATCCTAGAGAAATAGGAGCCCTGCCATAGACAGATATATGCACACCTGTGTTCCTCGCAGCACTATTCATAATGGCAAAAAGATGGGAACAACCTAAATGCCCAGTGGATGAATGTGTAAACAAACGATGGTACATGCACAGAATGGAATACTATGCAATGTTAAAGAATCTATGAAACATCTCATAACATGGATGAACCTAAGAGGACATTATGCTGAGTAAAATCAGTCAATCACAAAAGGACAAATATTGTATGAGACCACTATTGTAAAAAGACAAAAAGGGTTTCACACAAAAAGAAATATTCTTTGTTTGTTAATGGAGTGGTAGGGGAAGGAGGTTAAACCACTTACTAGAGGGTAAACACATATTAACTTGGGTGAAGGGGAAGGCAATGTACAATAAGAGGGAAGACAGTACAAAATGATAAAGGAAAGGAAGATTAGATTAGAGTTTTAATGGCAACAGAGGTAAATACTAATTCATGCACAATCCTGAAATTAAAATAATAATAAAGCTTTTGTATTATTTTAGTGGAGCTAGAGGAAGCAGCAGGGCTAAATGCATGAGCTCAAAATTTAATTCTTCAAAGTAAAGTGATTGGTCTTCCTAGAACTGAGGATTTAGACTTCTGAGTTCTTTTTGCCTCACTGAACCTATGCACTGTTATGACTTACCTGTTTGCCCAATTGTTTTGGCATCACCTAGTCAAGCTTCAGTCTTTGAGTACCTCAATTTTCCCTTGAGATAGGGGAACTAGTAATCCTCCCATAATGGGGAGAGATTGAATGTTATTATTTGGGTAACCACTTCAATAGTAAAACCACCACTGTGTCCATGACTATTTCCCAACTGGAGGAGAGAACACATAAGATGAAGTGGTACTTGCCCTTAGGAATTTATAGTTTCTTATGCTAGGGAGTGTTTTCTCTTTTAATAAGAGAGTGCTTTAAGTTCTTAAGGGGAACAGACCAATATAAATTGTTGATTTTTATGACTTCATTTGTTGTCTTGTTGGCACTGTTTCTTTGAGCTTTTCTTTTTTTCTCTCTCATGTTCATTCATGTTTTCTCTTTATTTATCATGTACCTTCATGAAATAGAAGATCACTTAGCAATGATTCACTTTTATAACTGTTCACTCAAACTTTTTAATCCCTCGTTCAGATGGTTTCTATCAGGTGAAAAGAGAGAAAAAAGAACCTCTCATCTACCTTCCTTCAACCAGGATGGATGCCTCTTTCCCATTTCTTGGTCAACCTAGAGTCCTGGAGGATCATGTGAATAACTCAGAAAAGGTTTTTAATGTCACCCATTATTAAATATTACTTCTATATAGAGTGTAAATAGAATAAATTTTATACTTAGGAGAAACGACATCAGGTTAGAGTAAGATGAAACTTATTCAAAACATTCTTCATCCAAAATGGGTCATAATTTAGACTCTATAGTGCTTTGATTTTTGTCAGTATCCCAATATTCTTGATTCCTCCTTGCACCTCCAGGTTATCCTAAAGGATTAGAGTCCCTCTAACTCAGATTTTTTCAGCTTCAGCACTATTGACATTTTGGGCTGGATAATTCTTTGTTGTGAGGGACTGCCCTGTGCATAGGATATTTAACAGCATCTCTGGCCTTACCCACTAGATGCCAGTAGCAAACCCTTAGTTATGACAATCAAAAATGCCTCCAGACATTGTCAAACGTCCCTTGGAGGCCAAAATAGCCCTCACTTGAGAACCACTGCTGTAACTCAAATCCGTAAGTGAATATTTACTCCTTTCAAGATACTCTCAGTAGACCTACTCCTCACATTGCTTCAGACCCTTAACCAATGAACATTTACTTTTTCAGCTTCTTAGTACCTCTACTCTACATGAGTAGACTGTTTGCTGTTATGAACCAGCCAATGGCAGGGCCTTAATGAGTTATAAGGGAAACTAGGATATTTTTTTAACCTTTTAGGTAGGCTTGAATAATGACATTCATACAGTACAGCCTTAGATGCCAGTATGAACAAGAGAATGCTAGTTGGATAGACTATGCACAGTTTTTGTGTTTAATTATCATAACCTTTCCTCCTAACTAATCTAGCTCCTGCCCTATCTGTGCAGAGGAGAGACACTGCTGCTTAGTGGCTAAGCAAATGAACATAGAGTCTAACAGACCTTGGTTTGAGTCCTGGTTTTGTCGTTCACTAGCTCTGTGACATTGGGTGAGACAGTCTCTTTGAGCCTCAGTTTCCTCGTCTTTAAAAGTAGAAAGAGTAACATTTCATAGAGTTGCTGTGAATATTAAATGACGTTTTCATTTATAAAGCAGTTAGCACACAGCATGTTCTGAGTAAATGATAGAGATTATTACTTTATTATTATTTTATCACTTTCCTGTATTGTCCCAACCTCCCTTCTTACACACATACACACACTCACTCACTTATACCCCAATTCATACACTCCTTAGTTCTCCCTCTCAAAGAAATCTCATGGCATCACAATTTCAGCCCTCTTCAACTTCAGATTGCTTGTTTTGTTATCAAGCATTTTTTAATTTCCAGATAGAAGCCAGAGGTTCCCTGTGTAAACAGAGAGCTCAGAAGCAAAGAGCAGGTACCATAAGGTTGGAAGTAGTTTGGGAAGATTTGAAGCAAACACTAATTCTAGGTTTCTCAGCCTCCTCATTAACGAAAAGAGCTACAGTGCTAGATAGGTGCTTTGTTGGACCGTTAGAAAATTATACCCTTCTTCTTTTATATTGAGGAGCTTTGGTGGTGTAGTGGTTCAGGCATTTGGCTACTAACTGAAAAAGGTTGGTGATTCGACTGACCAGCTGCTCCATGGAAGAAAGATGAGGCAGTCTGCTTCCGTAAAGATTTACAGCCTTGGAAACCCGTTGGGGGTTGCTGAGTTGAAATTGACTTGATGGCAGTGAGTTTGGTTTGTTCTTGGTTATTTCATACTGCATTCTTCATATAACTGTGGTCACACTTAATGTGGATTTTATCCCTTCCCTGGCTCTTATCTGAGTCATTGTGCAGGTTTACATTGTTCATAGGGTTGTTGTCTAGATCACATGATTGCTACAAGGATAAAATGAAAAATTGCATCATGGTACTTGACACAAGGCTGGTAATATACTAAGTGCTCGGTAAATGGTACTGCCATTGTTACTGTTGCTGCTGTTCTAGTGGAGAGAAGATGTTTGATCTGGACAAAGGAGGCCAGACGGTTCCCCAGAACACCAGAATAATATAAAGAACTTTTAAAGCCTTTTCCTTGCCCCCATTTTTGAAAGGTATAAAATATAGGCTACTCTGTAGTGCTGCCCTCTGGGGTTCCTAACCAGGCCCTCGTGGCCTGAGAGGCATGTTGTTTCCTATCCACTCAATATCATGAAGCAGCTAAGCTATAGAAAGCACTTGGCCAGTATAAAACAAATAATGCTTACAGATGATAATAAATATAAATAAATAATACATGGTGGATCTGAAGTCTTTTTAATAAGAAGACATGTTCAAACCAAAACCAAAAAGACATGTTGGCTCAGTTCAAATACTGCTTCCCTGTGCCTTGGAGTAGTCTTTAATATATAATGTTTACTGAACCAAACACTTCTGAATTTTTTCCTTAAGGGTATGAGGCTATTGCTTCTTAGAAGAGAGCTCCAACTTAGTCTGTTAGTCTCTGAAACTGAGAATTGATCCCATTGGCTTGACCTCTAGGCATGGGGGCTGGGGTGTCTTGCAGGTCATGAAGACATATCACATGTACAATGCTGACAGCATCAGTGCTCAGAGCAAGCTAAAGGAGGCTGAGAAGCAGGAGGAGAAGCAAATTGGCAAATCAGTAAAGCAGGAGGACCGGCAGACCCCACGCTCCCCCGACTCCTCGTCCAATGTTCGTATTGAGGAAAAGCATGTCCGGAGGAGCTCAGTGAAGAAGATTGAGAAGATGAAGGAGAAGGTGGGTATGTGTGGACAGCTGGAGGGGTTGCAGAGGAATGCTGTGGGGAGTAGGACTGACAGAAATTTCCAAGTAGGCACCCTGAAGAGCAGAACAAGGGAGCTTGTGTTCCTTTTACTGCCTAATGACCAAAAGTCCTTACTCACAACCCTGGAAAAGATCCTAGTTATTGGAAGAATGGAGGAATGTGGGCTCCAAGTTTTTTACCTCTAGCAGATAAAGAAGAACCAGTAGTCATCTTTCCTAGTCCATTTTACAAATAGAGCCAAATGTCCTGTTGCCTGGGAGACTGTAGACAGAGAATTTGTCTTGAGTTGTCAGGTATTCAGGAGCAGGGGTAGGGACAGCTCTTTGAGTTGGCAGTGCCAGGATGGAGCATGGCATTTGTAGAACCAAAGCGGGGCACGTATCTGTCGTAGGCTGCCTCATTAACCTTTCCTGAATTGATCTACATTATGCCCTTGAATCTCATTAAACAGAATTAGAACCCAATTTAAGGCAGATGCGCATTGGGAGTAGCAGCATAATTGTGGTTCTTGAACGTACTGTACTTTCATCTTTCAGAGAACAATTTCCCCTTTTTTAAAAAACCAAAAAAAAAGTAAACTTGAACTTCTGTTCCCTTTTCAGCGCCAAGCCAAGTACACGGAGAATAAGCTGAAAGCCATTAAAGCCCGGAATGAGTACTTACTGGCTTTGGAGGCAACCAATGCATCTGTCTTCAAATACTACATCCATGACCTGTCTGATCTTATTGATGTAAGTACTTGAAGCCAGGGGTCCAAGGGCACCTGTTTGCCATCGTTAGAACCCTGGTCAGCTGTTCCCTGGTTCTGTTGCTCAGGGATCTCAGGGTATTTTGAGAACAATTGTGCACATTGTTGGATGTGACCACCATCTATCAGAGGATTACCATGTGCCAGGTACCAAGAGAAACACTTTAGACAATATCTCATTTAATCCTCACTCCTGCCCTGGGAGGAAGGGTGATTAACTCTATTTTTACAGATTGTCATTCCGAGGATTTAGTTAACTTACCCAGAGTCAGCTGACAGTGACAGACAAAATTCTCATCAAGGTCTTATTACCAAACCCATGCTTATAGCCACTGTGCTCTACCATCCCCTAGGAAATACTCTCTTACATCAGCTACTTATAGCCTATGAAAGTTAGTGACAAGAGCTAAAAAGTTAGGTTGCTCTCATTGACATTTGTTGTACATTACATTTACATCAATGTTCTCAATATCATATCATTTGGTAGTCATGTCACCCTCATGGATAAATATTGATTTCCATTTTGTAGTTAGGGAATCTAGGGGTCCGGCAAGGTATACCACACATTTGGATCCTGATCAGGAGGGTTTCTGGATGCCCCTGACATCTGACCCGTCCTTTCTGATAAGTAGTGCAAAGGTCAGTGGGAGAAGCATGTTGGTAAGTTTGAGGCATGTTTTGTATGAGGCAGCCATAAGGGATTGTCCTTGGGGGGTGCACATAGTTAAGTACTCGACTACTAGCGAAAAGGTTGGCAGTTCAAACCCACCCAGGGATCCCTCAGAAGACAGTCTGGTGATCTACTTCTGAAAAATCACCCATTGGATGATCACCCATTCTACTCTGCACAGTTCTACTCTGCACACATAGGGTTGCTATGAATTGGAATCAACTCAACAGCAGCTGTCAAGAACAGGCCACAAGGGATAAGCTTTTTGTCTTTGGCCTTATGGGTCAGGCTTGGCCTCTTTTCTCCTGCTGCTTCCCCCAAACCTTGTAGTTGAGTCTTACAAATATTCTCACTTATAGGTGCTAATGTAGTCCAGTTTCTAAATCAGTCCTGATTAAAGCTATGTAAGTACACCTTTTCTCACCTTCCCCTCCAGCCATTAAAGTGAGGGCTCTGGAACCAGATGATTTAGCATCAGCATGCCAGTCTCCAGAGCTTCGGGAATGTCCTTACCAGTCCTGTCTCTGAGGCCTGGCATTTGCCTCAAGCTCTCAGCGGACACTCCTTGCAAAGTTGTCTGCCTTGGTTTCTCCTCAAGCAAACCTGTCACACCTTCATATCATGTGGATTCTGGCCTAATATTCACTGTTATATAACCAGCTAGGTCATCTGGGGTCACCTGGGGCTGTCACTTAACTATTCTGGACTTCTCCCTTTGTCTGCTTCACCTCACTCAGTAAGCTAAAGAATTGGTACTTAAATCTGGCCTCTTATCAGAGTTACTTGAGGAGCTTTTCAAAAATACAGAGTCCTGTCTCTTCACCCAGGATTTTTGATTCAATAGGTTTCAGCCTCTTAATGCCCTGGGTGTCATTGTCTCTCTGGGAAATGGAGCCCTGACTCCTGTTCAGGAGCCTCTTTGTTCTCTTTGCTTGTTGATGCCAATCTGAACACTGTCCTTCAGTGGAGGTCAGAGCCCTAAACAAGATCCTGTCTGCGTCCTCCAGGGAACAGCTCCTCACTGTTGGGAGAAATGCCTGTTCTAGCATGAAGAGAATTACTTCTTTCTTATGCTCAGTTTCTACTATTTATCTCACATCCACACTGTCCAGTCTGCCACGCCTTTTCTACTGGTTTGTCCCTTCAGAGCCAGTTTCCCACCCCTATCACCAAAATGCTCACCTCAGGAAAAGAAAGAGGCTGCTGATGTATCATTCACAACCTTTGCAATCCACAGACCCTCTATCAGGTGTGAGCCAGAAAATAAAACAGCTGCCATCGATAGTTGTGTCAGAGAACTGGGCTCTAAAGGTTTTCAGTGGCTGATTTTTTAGAAGTAGATCACCAGGCCTTTCTTCCTAGGCACCTCTGGGTGCACTGGAACCTCCAACCTTTTGTTTATCAGCTGAGTATGTTAACTGCTTCATGAGATATGAGCAGATGTCTTGAAGTCAGTCTAAGAAGCAAACTATTTTGTACTTTATTATCATTTAAGTTTTTTTTTTTTTTTTTTTTTTTTAAGTATGTTAAGAGCCTAACTTCCCAGGATGTGGTATGAAATGCCATAAAGTTAGCACGCCAGCCTCCTCAGCACTCAGCCAGGGTGTGGGACTAGGTTACTATGAGTAAGTCCAGCTTGGTAGCTTCCAGGCCACGTGGGTAGGAAAGTTGCTCTTACTTCCTTGCTGCTGGGTGTTTTGTTGTATCTTGCTTTATTCTGTTTACTTGCTTGTTTTGTTTTTGTTTTTCTTGGGGCCAATTACTGTCTTTAAAAAAAAAAAGTGGATAATATTATCCTGGTCTATAAATGTTTAGCAAATATTATTTATAGTGAGATTGTATGGCAGGCACTGTGCTCTGCACTATGGGTACGAAAAGGAATAAAATAATTTTTTATTCCTTTTTTATAGACATTTTTTATTCTTATTTATAGACATGCAAAAAAACCTAAAACCCACTGCCATCGAGTCGATTCCAACTCATAGTGACCCTGTAAGAGAGAACTGCCCTATAGGGTTCCCAAGGCTATAAATCTTTACAGAAGCAGACTGCTTCATGTTCCATGGAGCACTGGTAGATTCCAACCATTAACCTCTGGTTAACAGCTGGTAGTAGGCCTTAGCCACTGTACCACCAGAGCTCCTCATAGACATGCAGACATAATTTCTATGAAACTGGGCAAGTGCGGTGCCAGAGGTAAGCAGAGTGAGTGCTAAGACAGTGTTTTTTCACACTGTAGATCATGATTCGTTAGGGGACTCATGAAATCACTTTTATGTGTTTTGACCCTTTTTATAAATGAATAGGATGGAGTATAGCAGAGGACATCACACTAGTAAGGTCAAGTTTTATTTTTGAAACTTATTTTAGGAGCGCACTCACATGTGTGTATGTGCATGCACAGGTGTACACACATGCATTGCAATATAAGATGCATTTTATGCTGTGAATTGGGGATCAAAAAAAGTTTGAGAGCCACTGAGAACAGGGGAACAGAGGAAGAAGCTCTGTTAATCTCCTCTATGAGGGCAAGAACCAGGTCTTCTCTTTACTTTAGTAGCCCCCAGCACTTAATACGTAGCTGGTCATATAATATGTTCATTGAAAGAAAGAAGGAATAGAAGGAAGGCAGAAGAGGAAATTCCTTAAGCCAAGTCTTTTTCTTTTTGTGCCTTTTAATTTTTTTTTAATTGAAGTATAATTGACAAATCATACCCCCTTGTAACCTACCTACATCTCTATCAAGATAAGAATGTCTTCATCACCTCAGAAAGTTCCTCTTGCCTCTCCCTAGTCAATCTATCCCCGCCCTGAGGCAACCTCTGTTCTGATTTCTCTCACTATAAATTAGTTTTGTCTGTTGTAGAACTTCACAAAGATGGGATTATGCAGCGTGTACCTTTTGTATCTGTCTTACTTTTTCCTCAGCATGATATTTTTGAGCTTCACCTAGGTTGTTGCCTATATCAGAATTTGTTCCTTTTTATTGTGACCCGATGCATTAAAAAGGACAAAAAAAAACCAGTGCTTTGATGATGAACTTACAGTCTGAGCAGGAGTGAGTGGGGAGGCTGGGTACCTTGGCATTCAGATCTTCACAGTTTCCAAAACTTGCTTTGAGCCATAGAATGAATCTTGTTCCAGTCCATTGCCATCTGTGTTATGTGCACCATTCAGCCTCCATCCTAGGGGTGTTGAAGTGTAATGCATGCTTAAGGCATTGAGGCTAAGTGAAAAGAAGGGCTTTTTTTGTTTTGTTTTGTTTTTTGTCTTAATTCCAGTACAATGACACAAGGACTATCCCCCGACTTCTTTTTATAGTACAGTATAAGATTTAAAGTTGGACTATAGGAATTCATGTGAGACATCTGACACATGGCAGGAAAACCTTGGCTTCAAGCCAGAAAGACATTCTGAGCTCACTTGATGGCATCTAAGAACTGGAGGCTCATTGGAATGTAATTTTCCTTCCCCATACTCCTGTGGCTCTCTCAACCCAGGAGCAGATGGATGAATGAAGAACAGCTCATTGTCCTCATGCATAGCTGAGTGTTGTGAGTGCCCTATATTTGGACAGAAAGTTTGGGAAGTCATATGCTCTCAAGTCTACAAGGGAACTTGATTTTCTCAGTAGGAAATGTTACTAAGGGCAGTATTTTTCTCTTCTGAGTGAACTTAAAGTGGATCTTAAGAGACACCCATTTTTCTTTTCTAGGGCTTCTGTAGTGTCTCAGAGTGAGGAAGTCAACTGGTAAAGGGTTAATGAGCTATCAGTGCAAGTCATCAGACATCTGGATGGGCTGTCATTAAATTCTTATAAAAAGTTGATTTCCCCTGACAGGGTTTTATCAAACATTTATATAGCCCACAAATGGCCATGGGAACTCAGCTTGGCCACAGAACTCATGAGAAGCCATGGAAAGCATGTTTTGTCCCCGTTATGGGCACAATAATGTGCTGCCTCTACTCAGTGTGATTCTTCTAGGAACAGGGATGAAATATTCAAATCCTGTTTATCTAACTTGCCAGAAATTGCTTCTTTGCTGAAGACTCAGGTCTGGCTGTTGTTCCTACAGACATGTGGCTAGCCAGGCCCTGGAAAACCTATTCTGAACTTGCCTGGTTGGCTGGGGCTGTAGAGGATACAGAGAGCGCACTACAGGTCAGACCCTTCTTTACTGGCACAGCTAAGCTACCAGTTTCATAAATAGAGACAGTAGACCAATCCTGGAAAAGCTCCTTGCCTTCCTTAGTCTATACAAAGTGAGCAAAATAGAAGGCTTCAGTCTACTCACTTGATTTAAATGAGTATTCAACCTATTTGCATAATTCCCAAAGAAGCCCTGGTAGCGCAGTGATTAAGTACTTGGCTGTTGATTTGGTTCTCTACTACTGCTGTAATAATCATACCACAAATGGATGGCTTTAATGAACAGGGATTTAGTCTCTTACAGTTTAGGAGGCTAGAAGTCCAAGTTCAAAGTGCCAGCTCTTGGGGCTGGGTGAAAGCCCTTCGACCTTGGCCTTAAGCTCTGTCTCTTGCTGCCAGCCCACTGAAGCTGGAGGCACCTCTTAGATCAGGCAGCTGCTGGCTGATGAAGCTGACAAACTCAAGGTCAACAAATAAAATGGCACATCCCAAGATTATCAGGCAATATGGCAGGCTACACTAATTCAAGTCCATTAATAGTCCCAAGATTGACAGACAACATGGCAAAACAGAAAGTTTGGGAAGTCATTTGCTCCCAGTCATATGCTCACAGTTTTCAAAACTTGCTTTGAGCCATAGAATGAAGACTCAGCTACATACATGGTCCAAGCATGCCAAAAAGCTAGAGACCTTTCTCAAAGCTGTCTTCTTATAAGCTGGAAGCAGACCATATCCCTAAGACACCTACTCAGCTACTCCAATAGATTCTACCATGGAGTTGATTACCAGTCTCATCATGGGGGAATAACTACAACAAGCTGCCCAGCCACTTAAAACCAGGCCCAGCCAAGTTGACACACAACTACCACAGCTGTTAACCAAAAGATCAGAGTTTCAAACCCACCAGCCACTCCACAGGACAAAGGTGTAGCAATCTGCTTCCATAAAGATTACAGCCTAGAAACCCTATGGGGGCACTTCTATTCTGGGTTGCTATGAGTTGGAATCAACTTGATGGTAATGGGTTTGGTTTGATTCATATTATTCACTGAGAGGCTGGAATTTATGCTCCTGGCATCCATTAATTGACTGATCTTTATTGAATGCCTATTGCAGAAAGAGCATCATGGTGAGGGATTGAAAAAGAATAAGACATTGGCCATGCCTTCTATGAAACTTACCTTTAGATTTAGGTGATTGGAAATGGCAGTCACAGAATGAGAGCATGGATTCTGTGACACATGAAGGCTGCAGACAAGTGTGATTCTGAGTGGAGACAGATCTGTGTAGGCCAGGGTCGCAGGGCTGGCTGGCAGGCTTCCCAGAGGCTACGAATTTGACTTAGATCTTGAAGACTGGGTCTAATTCCAACAGCTGAGAAGAGTGGGAATCATTTCAGAAAGGAAGGATGTTAGGAGCAGAGGGGCAGAGGTCAGTGAATTTGAGGATATTGTAGTATTGGTGGCTGCATGATGCCATATATATATGTAAATACATTGCCTATATTTACAAGTACAACAATCTAGGAAGCTGATGTCATCCTCATTTGATGCTCAGAGAGGTTAAGTAGCTTGCTCAAGGTCACACAGCTGATTTCAAGCTCATGGTTTTTCAGTACTCTGCCCTAAACAGAGAGTATGGCATTGGATTAAAACAGACAAGTCTGAAGATAAAAATGGAGATAATGTTGGATGGGTACGATGAGGACTACAATTTGTTCTGGCTGTTTGACCTTGCTCTAGTTCTTTAATTTCACTGAACCTGTGCTTCCTAGTCTGGAAAAACAAGATAATATCTACCTCATAAGGATTATTTTAAGGATTAAAATGAAATATGTATATAAAAAGGAGCTCTGGTGATATAGTGCCCAAGGTTAGCACACTGCCTGGTATATGATAAGCACACATAGTAAATAGAAGCAATTTTTAATTGCCAAACTGAGGAAGGTAAAATTTACCTTAGAAAAAAATGAGAGCTATTTTTGGTCCTTTAGCAGGGGACTGAGGTAATATCTGCATTTTAAGACAGTTAAGCAGTCAGCCCTGGTGTAAGATAATAAGGGTATGAATCAGGGTAGGGGTACTGAGAACAGAGAGGAAAGCATGTAGAGGTTTATGAAGTGCACGTTGCTTCCCCCTAATTCTTTTCTGCCCTAAAGAGCCCACTAGAACACACACACATGCACACACACACACATGTGCACACACACACTTGCTCAGCCTGTGTGCAGCACCACTCTTGTAATTAGGCTTACAGGGATAGAGTTAATCATCAGGGTCTACACAGAGCTAGTACTGGAGGTACAGGTTCAAGGGCAGCCTGGCTAGACAGCAGCATCTCCCAGAGGAGAAAGGGCCTTGCACGTGCAGCCTCCCAATCAGCTGCTTTTGTCTAGCTTCTATTTGCCCTTCCCTCTCAACTGAATTTAATATCTTTCCATCCTCTGCCTCTACTTAAGCTGTAACTGCTATTCTTCCGCTGTAGCCCGACACCTGCCAGGGCCTGTTGGCACTGAACCCAGAGCTCAGCCTGACAGGCACTGCATTGCTGAGCATCTTGTCAGATTCTGAGTGGGAAGAGGCACATCACATGCTTTTTCTTCCTCAGTAGTGGTTGCTCCCAATGCGATCATGATAAGGGGGAGAGGACAAGGTAGGGAGTTAATTTGATACCTGCTTATGGAATAAAATGGCATTCAGGCAGAATGTCTTTATCTATGGATTCTTCTCTGGTGTCTCTTCTTGGGTTTGGGACCTCAAAGCTGCTTGAGCAATAGAAAGGATAATAGATATCTTAGGAATTTGAATCTCCAGGTGCTTCGAGGATAGCAAGTACTATTGTAAAGTTACTGAATGTCATTACTGAAGGGGATCTTAGGGATTACATTTAGTTCAAGGGTTTCCAGACTTTTTCTCTTGCAGAAGAACTCATTCTTCAAACCAGACCTTAGGTAGAATCCCAACATATAAAATAGAAAAAGCAGCAGAAATGGTTTGGTTGAAGCAGGGATAGGAGGTGCCAAGTCCTACTAGTTTGCCTGCCCTCCTACTCCCTTCTCCAGGGCAGTTCTTGAGCACTGGCACAGCATCTTAGAGCTCTGGTCTACAGCTGGAAAACCACTGACCTGCTCAGATCTGTTCACTTTACAGTCTAAGAAACAGGCTCAGGGATGGAAAGTGGCTCTTCCAAGGTTGCTTGACTTCTTGTCCAGTGCTTGTTTTATACTGTGGCCTTTTTTCTACCATCTTCTTTTTTACATTTTGCTTTTAAAAAATCAGAATTCTTTATGTGATCTGAATTTGTTCATTAAAACTTACCTTTTGAGTTCTTTGGTCCTATATACGCTCTTTTTGTAGGGCAGGGGCTTGAATACAGATATTCTAGTCTATAGCTAAGGCCTGCCCCACAATGTTGGCAGTTGGTGGGGGTAATAACTAATAGAGAATTATTTACACACACACCCCTCCATTCTCTTTTTCACCCACCCAGAGTTCTAAGTAAGTTTGGGTAAATTAACTGCTCTTGAAACACTCCTTTTTTCTGATTCCTTAATGATGAAATGACTTGGCTTGGTTGGAGTTTAGTGACTGAGATACAGTAACCCTAAAGGAGTGGCAATCTGCATTTTTATGTTTGAATTTTGTTAAGTGACATGCCCAGATAAAACTGAAAATAGAATTCTCTTCAACTCTCAACTCTTCTCATGGTTGCCAAATGCATGATTGAGTAATGTCATGGCATTTTCATGAATCTGCCTCATTCTTACCACTGCACAGACCTCTAAGGTATTTAACCACTGTAGTGGGAATCAAGAACTGAGAAATCTCACCCCAATCTTGAAAGTCAGCATATCAGCCTTCTTCCCACTATACAGCCAGTCTTATTGTCATGGTCAGATCTACCCTGAAGGGCCACCCTTCTTTTCTGCCAAGCCTTGGGCTTGTCCATAGTCTGATCATATGCCTTCTTCTTCCCACAGCAGTGCTGTGACCTAGGCTACCACGCTAGCCTGAACCGGGCCCTACGCACCTTCCTCTCTGCTGAGTTGAACCTGGAGCAGTCAAAGCACGAGGGTTTGGATGCCATTGAGAATGCGGTAGAAAACCTGGATGCTACCAGTGACAAGCAGCGCCTCATGGAGATGTACAACAATGTCTTCTGCCCACCTATGAAGTTTGAGTTCCAGCCCCACATGGGGGACATGGTGAGGCCCTCTCCCCATCCCCACTCCCCCAAGGGGTTGGAGCTCTCTTGTCTCATTTATCTCTAGCTTAGCAACACTGAGGCCACATTATTCTGGGGAGAGAGGCCTGGGGGCTAGCTTCCTGTCAGGTGGGTGTCTGTCCTACTGAAGTAAGGCATGATCTGTGTATTGACTGAGTGTTTGCTGTCTACCAGGCTTGGCTGTGGTCACTGGGTACTACAGCACTCAGAGAGCTTACAGTCTGGTGAGAGAGATCACTGAGGGTGGAAAGAAATTAGAAAAATGAATAAGGAGGGTCATCTAAAGGGGCCAGCATGATCAAAGAGGTGAAACCCCACAGGTATGTTCCAGGTTACTAAGACTTAGTCTGGTGGAGGGAAAGGGTAGTGCCAAATAGTGAGGCTGGAAAAGTGAGAGCCAAGGTAAAGCCAGACCCTAGAGGCCTTGTTGGGGGAAGGTTAACTGGGAGAGTGGGTTCTTTTGTCATTGGATTCTGGGGTATCTTACTGTCCTGAGACTAGAAGATTAAAATAAAGGCTGTAGTTTCACTTGGGTATTAAACGCAAACATCAAAATGGATATCTCCAGAAAGAAGTGGAGCTAAGATGTCATCCTAAAGGCCTGGTGTTGGCTGCCAAGGCCGGGGAGCATGATCATGAGGGCCTGGTTTTGGATTCTTCATCTGCAATGACTGAAAAAAAATCCAAAACCAAACCAAACCCATTGCTGTCAAGTTAATTTCCAACTCATAACGACCCTATAGGACAGAACAGAAGTGCCCCCACAGGCTTTCCAGGGCTGTAAATCCTTATGAAAGCAGACTGCCTCATCTTTGTCTTATGGAGTGGCTGGTGGGTTTGAAACACCAACCTTCTGGTTGGCAGCTGAGCACTTTAACCCACTGTGCCACCTGGGCTCCTTGACTAAAACAAGAGGGTTCTAAATAAACTGAAGTGAGAGGAAAGAGAAGCTCCTTGGTTTTCATGATTCTCACTCTTTTGGTTCTACTTCTGGTGCATTCAAATCATATTGAACCTTTTCTCTTGCTGGTAGGAGCCCCATTTTACTTTCTGGCTAAATCAAAAGAGAGTATATATAGGCTGATGTAATAGAAAGTTCAGGATGGATCTTTAGACCTGGTTGGATTCAGGAGCAGAAATGGTGTCAAGACTCTGTTTCTCTCTGTGTGCTCCACCTCCTGTTCTCAGTTAAGCCCTTTCCCCGTGGGAGTAAGGTGACTGTATACGCAACCTTAAAACCTTGTAGGTTGAAATGTAGGAGCAAGAATATCTGCCTGCCTCCCAGAAGCCCCCATTAAAAGTCTCATTGTGTTTCAGTGCCTCTGATTGGGTGAAGTGCTTATCCCTGAGCCAGTCACTGTGGCTGGGTACTTGCAGTCTTCTAATTGGCTTCTACCTAGATCACATGCTTCCTCCCTGAGTGGGGCAGAGCTCCATTCAAAGCATGTGGCCTGAGTTGTGGAGCGACAGATTCCCCAAAAGAGTAGTCAGGCCAGTTACCCAAAGAAGGGGGGGAATGGATACTGAGTGGCCAAAAAAGTACACTGTTCTCTCACAAAGAATGATGTTTCCCTTAGGGTTAGAATCCAGACTTTTGAAAAAACCCTACTCTGGGAATAACTCTGACAACTCTAGGAGTGTAACCAGAGGATGCATTGTTATTGGTAGGCCATTATGGGGAGTCGGACATTTCTTTTCCTAAAGATGAAATATGGAGATGATTTCTTTCCTCTGCTTCTTGGGTAAACCAAACCATTTATAGTTTGTTTCCCTTGCTGTGGCTTTGGAAATGTCAGCATCTGAACAGATGGGGAAGTGAGATGGCAGCATGTGCAGTTAGAGTTGGGCGAAGGGGTGTCACTGAGCCCCAGGAAGCCTCATTCCTCACCTGCCCTGGCTGCTGGTCAAACTTGCCTTCCAAGCCCCTGCTGTCAGGCCTTCTCCAGCTGCCACTGAGATTCTTTCCGAAGAATCAGTGGAACTTGGGGGCCAGCTGAGTGGAATGATACATTTTCTGGTGTTGACTGAGTTGCCTTCTGAGCCAAACGGCTTGTCTCCATAAAGGGGAAATACAGATGCTGGGTGCTCAGGCCCCCTCCCAGCCCTGTCAGAGCTTCATATCCATACTCCAGAGCACAGCTGGAATGTATTACCTTGCATGCTGGTAGAGGACCCACTGCCAAAGCATGCATCAGCAGCACTGCTGCTTCTTAAAGGGGTAGTCTTAGAGATGGCTTTCCCTCTGTGATTCCTCCCTACTAGGTCTAGGTCACTTTAAAAATCAATAGTTCTCTCTTCTGCCTAGGCCCTTTCCATGTGTGAGATAGCTGATCAGTGACTGAATAGGCAGGGGCCAGCGCCAGTCCTAGAGCTTACAAAGGTTCTGCATTCCAGCTTAGCTTTCATACCAGTGGAAAATAAGAGATGAGAAGGCGAGTCATTCTTGGTTCCTGTGACTGGTCTATCCCCATCAGCGTGGGCTATCTGTAGAGTGTGGAGGCAGCAAAAGAGAGCTGCCTGGAAGTCCTTGAACTAGGGCCAAAGTTCGGGTGGCATTTTGACCGGAAGCCCTAAAGTTGGCCAGGGCCCTACGTTGACTCTGGTGTTCTGGGGCGCTCAGCATATGAGTTGATGCCAAGCACTCTCAGATGTACTAGGAGGAGGTCCTTGGCTCCACTCTTGCTGCCCCTAGAGGCTTGCAGGGCTCTGGATGCCTGACTGGTGACATCAGGCAGCCAGAGAGTTTCACTCTTGGCACTGACCCATTCTGGCCACTAAGCTTTCTCCATTGTGTCTCCTTATCCAAGAGCCAGAGTGAAGTCAGCTCTCTTTAGATCTGAGAGCTGGCTCAGGCCAGTCTCTCGGCTAGGGGAGGCTAGGGGAGGAGGTCAAGTCAATTGGGAGCTTAAAAGCCAACGGAGGAAAAGGTCAAGTCCCAGCCTCCACAACTTGAAGAGAGGTTTTGTCTTTTCAAGTAAGAGAATGGTCTGTGGGCAAGTGAATGTGCCTACTCGTTGCTGGGGAGGAAAGAGGCCAGTTCTCTCCAGATGTCCTTCTGCAGATGACGGCTAAGGGACACATGGTGGCAAGGTGACAGAAGCTGCCTCCATCTGGCTCCTGTCTACTACCTCCCAAAGCTCCTACCTAACTCTCTCACCCTTCTGCTCCTTATCCATCATCCTGGGACTGTGGTGGATGACTTCATGCCATAGGCATGCTCCATGAAACGACAATGAGTTGGCCATTCCTTCACATAGCGTGCTCATTGCCAGTGATCCTTGGGGGACCTCCCTCACACACAAGACTGGTGAAGACTTGGGATAAACTGATGGCTCTTTGGAAAACACCAAGCTCTACCATATTCCATGTCCTCTGGGGCCATCTAGCATAGTCTACAGACTTGTTCCTGGCTTCATGCTCCTTCTGGTTGAGTCAGAACTCTCAGGCATGGCTCGGATTTATAAACATGCTGGCTCCCAACAGCAGCAAGTTAGCCTCCTGACCCACTTCTGTCCTCCTTTCACTATGATGTATGAAGGAGGCTGAGAAAAGGGCCAGAGAAGTGGCCACTTGGACTTCTATCAGGAAATCTTCACTATGCCAGAGCATTGTGTTTCTAAAACTGGGCTTTCCTAAGGCTCTGGCTTCCATAGAGCCACAGACCCTGTGTAGGCTTGCCCTGCCAAGCACCATCTTGAAGATGAGCTCCAAAGGGAGAAGCCTGGTCTTTCTAAATAAGTCCTCTTCCCCATTCTTTTACATGATACTTGGTCCTGGAAGAGGTCCATACACTTTGGTTTTGGATTTTGTTTCAACGTAGAAACTGTGAGCCTTACACCTTGAATATGAGCAGTTTTATTAGCAGTAATGAGAACTCTGGAACGACGAAAAGAGTTGTGTCCTCCTCCTGACCTAGTGTTACTTTCTTTTGGCAGGCTTCCCAGCTCTGTGCCCAGCAGCCTGTCCAGAGTGAGCTGGTACAGAGGTGCCAACAACTGCAGTCTCGCTTATCCACCCTGAAGATTGAGAATGAAGAGGTGAGTTTCCAGCCTCAGAGACTCAGAGCCACCGCAGAATTCCCTTGTTGAACCTCTTGCGGCTGCCTGTCTGGGAGCAGGTGGAAGGAGCATGCTGAGAATGTCCGGGCTGCCGCAAACATTTCCTAGCCAAATGTAGGCTTGGATTTTACCCCTCTGCTACATCCTGCCCTTGAACTCCAGGAAGTTGCTCATGCATTGCCAAAGGTTGAGCTCTATTTTGAGCTTTTGCAGAATGCTTTTTTCCCCCCCCTCTGCACATTTTATCAAAATGGCACTTGGCAGCTGTGTGAACAATATTGTGTCTCTGAAGCCACCCCCTTATGCATGGCTTTTTCCAGAATTTTCAAACAAACAGAAGGCTTTGCCTCTGACACTTCAAACATCTTTGTCCTCTTAGATGAGAGAGATTTTCTTCTGGGCCCAGCATAGTTGCTTTCAACAACTAGTTCAAAAGAGCAGTACGATTGATTATCCAGCTTTTTTCTTTTGAGTTCAGATGACTTCTCACCTTGCATTTCAGTAGGTCTTACTGTTTCCCAGGAAACTCAGGAAGGACTGATCACTTAGTTTACAAGTGGGGAAATAAATTAACAGGCCTCTTGAAGGCCATGAAATGGAACCCGGGGTAGATGCAAAACTAGACCCATCCCATATTTTAACAAACTCTGCACTGTGGAATTGGTTTGGATTCATTTCATTCTCTTTCATTTAGTCCTTCTTTATAGCCAAGAGCTAATATCAAATATTAAAAGTAAATATTAAATAAAAGAGCTGAGTTATGCACATACCATGAAGGGAGTAGTGGTGTTTAGGTGCTCACTGGGGAGAGTAGCATGCTGTAGTGAGTGGGTAATGTTTATCTTTTAGCACTGTCAGGTGGGGAACAGAGCTGTACCTTTTGATGGCATTCCCACTCCTTTCCCAGCTCTCTCCTGCTCCCACCTCTCTAAGCTTGCATCACCTGCTATTTTGCAGCCTCCACTTCTTGCATTATGTTGGCCTTTGTCATGGCAGGTAAAGAAGACAATGGAAGCTACCCTGCAGACCATACAGGACATCGTGACTGTCGAGGATTTTGACGTGTCTGACTGCTTCCAGTACAGCAACTCCATGGAGTCCGTCAAGTCCACCGTCTCAGAAACCTTCATGAGCAAGCCCAGCATCGCCAAGAGGAGAGCCAACCAGCAGGAGACAGAGCAGTTCTATTTCACGGTGAGGGAGCTTGGTAGCCTTTAAAGAGCATCTATAGGCACTCTGGTAGCATAGTGGCTAAGGCACTTGATTGCTAACCAGAAGGCTGGCGGTTCAAACCCACCAGCCACTCCTCGGAAGGAAGGTTGGGCAATCCTACTTCCGTAGTGATACTGCCTCGGAAACCCAAGGAGGGGTCGCTATGAGTCGGGGCTGACTCGACGGCACATAACAACAACAACAACAACAACATAGGCACTACAGTACATGAAGGAGATGTGTAACCCAAGCCCTTGAACTCCAGGAAGTTGCTCATGCATTGCCAAAGTTGAGCTCTATTTTGAGCTTGTGCAAAATGCCTCTTTTTCCCCCCTGCACATTTCATCAAAATGGCATTTGTCAGCTGTGTGAACAATATTGTGTCTCTGAAAGGCAGTCTGAATATCCTAGATTCACTGTGAGCCAGAATCCATGCAACAGCAACAGGTTTTAGTTTTTTGATTTTATACTTGAAGACCATCTCTACACATAAAGGCATAAACATCTACAAGTTGAATACGTCTAACAGGGGACCCCCTCCTCCCAAGAAAAAAGTTTTTTCCAAGTATACCAGTAAGAATATTTCCTTTTCTAAGAATTCTTTAGCCAGCTAGTAAGCTTTCATTTGAAAGTTTCCTTCTTGGCCATGGGGGTTCATGAAAGGGGATCCCCTCTCAGTTTTGGGAACTACATCCAAATTTTCCAGCTAACAGATACCTTGTTTATAAAATCTGGAGTCCATTTTGGGTGATATGATGACCTTGTTTTATAACTTTAATTGTTGGAAAATTATTTTTTTAATAATTATTGTTAAAATCAAAGAGACAGGTAATGTATGGCAGCTTTGTTTTACAGAGAATTCCAAAACGTATTGTGTTATTCTTGTGTCTCCCAGTCGTCTTTCAGACAGATGGATGTTTTTTGTTTTTTTTTTAAATACATAGTGTTAACAGTCCTTTGGAAGGTTGCTGGCTGGTCTTTGGTTGCTTTTTAATAATTAAGTTATTTTGAGCTTGCCAAGTAGTATTTATTGCCTAGACTAAAATTTATTTCCTAATCTTCTAACGATCAAGAGAGGAAAAATTAAGTTTGCAGATGTGAGATGAAATATAGCCAGTGAATATGCATACTGATTCTGAATGAAAGGAATCAACTTGATTTTCAGTCAAGAAACACAATCTGCATGAAGTAAATAGAATTTTTCCTCCAACTGGAACAATTTATTTAATTCTTCTTTGAACACTGTCCTTTCTCCATTAAGAATGCTAATGATTAACTTTTTTTTTTTAAGAAATCTATTTTTTAAATTAATTAAGCTCAGAATTCTTCAGATTTTTTTTTTATCCTTGAGAAGACTGTTGAGAGGGAGTGATTTAGCAGTATTAATCTTTGAAACTAACTTTATTGTTATGCAAAGCAATACAGGTAATCTTCACTTTTGGAAAATTCACTTTATGCTACTCTCTTTTAAGAAAGACCTACATTAGTAACTATTTTCACTCACCGAAAGAAAGCCAAAGAGAATTTTTGCTTTTGCGAAAAGCAAAACTAGCGTTCAGTGTTTGTTTTGCAGTGAGCTGTTAAAGAGGCGGTGTGCATCCTAAGCAGAAAGAGTGGCGTCACCAGGCTCTTCCCTGGGAGCTACACAGCCTCTCAGCATCTAACCCCATAGCTTTGAACTGTGTCTGTGAACACTGGATGTTAGAGTTATGTTAGGTTTTATATGTTATTGGGTACAATTTGGTAGGTTACTTACTGGGTTTGAGAATGCTTAAAACATTTTTTTTCCTCATATAAATTAATGGTAATTGCTTCTTCCCTTCATACCATCTCAGCTTATAAAAGGTTTCATATAATCACTTTACTTTCAGATAGCTCATTATATAAAATTTAGAAGGAAAAAGAAGAAAGTAAAAACCAGCCATAATCCCACTACCCAGAGATAATGGTTTTTAGATACATTCTCTTCCAGTCTTTTTTCCTTGCATATATAAGCACATATATTTATAATTTTATTACAAAAAATGAAATACTGCTATATATATTGTTGTTATAATCTGTTGTTTTCCTTTAACAATGAATCATGAATGTTTTCTAAGACATTTGATTATAACATTGTTCAAACATATTTGTGAGTAAAACACTAAGATCATCACAAAGGAAAAATGGAATGATAATTTGGTTCATTTACTCACTCATTTTTGTAAAATGCCTAGCATATGGCCTGGTTTGTAGTTAATGTCCCATAAATGTTGAAGATTTATTGCTATCTTCATTATTAATTTATTCATAAAATTATATATTGATCATTCATTCAAGACACTACTGTATACCAGGCACTGTGTTATAAACTGGGAATGCCAAGAGTGTAAGATGAAGAGGAGAGTGATGGGATTTAGGATATAAGGTGAGCACTTTGATTTTGATTTTTACTTCACCTGTTTCAAAATTTACTGTGGTTAATGAATATCATTGTGTGTATGTTTTCACCACAGCAAAAACAAAACAAAAAACAAGGTACCACGGTTGATTTTCATAATTAAAAAAGTAAATATAAAGATTTTAAAACTGCGTCTATGCACACGTGTATGAGTAGCAGCCATGGGATGAATGGAGTTGGGGAAACATCATATGTAAAGTGACTTTGTGCTTGACCACGATGAGTAAACCTGGCAGTGAACCAGGGAGGAGACTGGCATTCCTTGAGGATAGAACCGCATGCACAAAAGCATAAAGACTGCACCAACCTGGGTTAGCCGTTAAGAGAACTTCTTGACTATAAAGTGCGCTGTGTCACCTCAAGCATCATTACCTAAGGGGAATGCTCTCTAGAAGGTGATAGGATTTTTTGTGATAGGATTTTTTGTGATAGGATTGTGTGGTTGGTCTGTCTGGGCTGCTTATTTGTAACACTACTTAAATGACCCAGTCTTGTTACATTGCAGAAGATTTCCATTTTTTAGGTTAATAAAAAATTTGTGGCCATTAAAGAAATCTGTATTTAAAACAGTCTTTGTCAGAATTTGCTTTTGGCTTTAAGTGATGCTATTGCATTTGTGTTAAAAGTTGACCTGCAGTAAAAGCAGGAATGACTATATTCAAAGGGGTGACCTCTCAAATCCTGCCCACCCTTTTCACCTTCTGTCTGAATGCCCTGATGTCCTCTAACCCATTTCCTGTCTTTTGTGACCATAAAGCTACTTATCAAAATTGTGTTAAAATTTTCTTGGCTAACAGAAGTTGTTTTTGTCTGGCCTTGTCTAGTAGCAGATTTACAAGAGAATTCATCATTTTCGTGACTAGTACTTAGAATGTGTCAGATAATTCTGGTGAAAGGGCTTTTTTGGGTAGTGAAATGGACATTCAAGGAAAGGAGGTGCCTGTGTTAAATAGAGTGACTGTCCATGTTTGCTGAGCCATAGGTAGCCAACACAATCGCAGATGTGCTTCATCCGTTTCCTCTACAAGCATTGCTCCATGCCCTTCAAAACATCGGGGCAGGGCATCCTGGGAGAAGTTCGTAGCATTTGGAAAGCTGGGAAGAGCTCATCAAGACTTTGACTTCTTGGTAGTGTGCCTGGTGACAGAGAGGGCTTCCTGACCACTAGAAGCTGTCATCAGATTGATCTGCCCAGATGACATCAATTAAAAATTCCAAGCATGATCTATAGAGGTCAGGCATTTACAGGAGTCCCAAGAAAATAATCATGGGATTTTAAAACTTGCACTGATTTTTTTAAAATCGTTTAACCCAACCTTCTCCTTTGAAATATTTTTAAAAAACAAATCCAGAGAGGATGGGTAGCTTGCCCAAGGTCCTCAACCAGATCTGAAACCAGAACTATAGTTGCCACAAGCATTTTATCAACAACTTACTGAAGAAGCTGAGTGAAAGAAAAAGCTTAGAAACAACTTGGCAATCTTACTTGCCCTAAGTAAGGAGCTGTTGGAGTTTGTAGGTGCTACAAATAGCTACAGTGCTCAGTTGCTAACCAAAAGGTTGGATGTTCAAGTCTACTCAGAAGAAAGGCCTTGTGATTTACTTCTGAAAAATCAGCCATTGAAAACCTATGGAGCACAGTTCTACTCTGCCACACATGGGGATGTCAGGAGTCAGAATCGACTTAATGACAGCTGGCTTTAAGGAAATACTTCCTGATCACTTTGACTTTGTATCATTCCTCTTCTGTGACATGTGATCCAGCAATATCTGCATTTTTCCTGCCTTTTTAATTATTATTGTTAAAAATAACTTTTAAAAATATACAAAAATCTCAAAAAGAGTTGTTGTTGTTGTTGTTGTTAGTGCCATCTAGTTGCCTCCAACACATGGTGACCTTGTGTACAACAGAATGAAACAATGCCTGGTCCTGTACTGTCCTCACTGTCCTTGCTGTGCTTGAGCCCATCGTTGCAGCCACTGTGTCAGTTCATCCCATTGAGTGTCTTCCCCTTTTTCGCTGACCCTCCACTTTACCAAGCATGGTATCTCCAGAGAGTGGTCCCTTCTAAGAACATCATGAAAGTAGGTGAGACAAAGTCTGGCTATTTTCATTCTTGGTACTAAGGAGCATTCTAGCTGCACTTCTTCCAGAACAGATTTGTTTGCCAGCACCACAATTCAAAGGCATCAGCTCTTCTTTGGTCTTCCTTATTCATTGTCCAGCTTTCACATTCATATAAGACGACTGAAAATACCATGGCTTGGGTCAGGCGCAGCTTAGTCTTCAAAGTGACATTTTTGCTTCTTAACACTTCAAAGAGGTCTTTTGCAGCAGATTTGCCCAGTGCAATATGACATCTGATTTCTTGATTGTTGCTGCCATGGGTGTTGATTGTGGATCCAAAATGAAATACCTGAAAATATCAATCTTTTCTCCATTTATCATGATGCTGCTTATTGGTCCAGTTGTGAATATTTTTGTTTTCTTTATGTTGAAGGCTGTAGTCTTTGATCTTCATCAGTAAGTGCTTCCAGTCTT